AGCCGGCAGAGGCATGGGGGAAGGGAGAGGGAAGCAAGAGCACATTCGAATGCACAGCTCAATGTCTTTAAAATCCTATTCTTCCACTTAACATTTTCTACCCAGATGGTAGCCTCTTCCCAAAACTACCCCTTCCAACTCTACTCAGTTCCTTACAGGTATTACCCCCCAGCTTCAAGTCTGTTGGCTTAATTTTGGTATTGCATAATGAAGAAGAGCTTGGGAGCTGACCTAGCAAGCAGAAATTCTTTCTTCTTCCACCACTACCCTACTCTCCACAAGTACTTACAGTTTACTTCTCAAAGGGAGGCAGACACCTCTAGGAACACTTCTGTGACCTCATACTCTATGACCCCCCTCTATCTTGGCACCTGTCACATACGTCTGGAATCTTTGTCTTACCCAAATGTCTGCGCCATCAGACTATGAACTCTCTGAGGACAGAAACCATGTCTTCCTTTTTATCATCCCCTGAATGTAACCTAGAACTTTTGGCACAAATTTTTACAAAATAGCCCATTTTAGATCTGACCTAGAAAGTTCCTTGGTCTATTTATTTTCTCATGCTAATGCACAAGTGGGATGAGTGCAGGGAATCAAAGAAGTTTGGGGGAAGAGAATCAGCATGTATTGACACTTATGAGAAGCCAGGCCCAGGGCCAAGCATTTACATCTTTATATTCTTAAGTTCTGGCAACCTCTCCATAAGGCAGATAGTAGTGTACCCATTTTACAGATAAAGAAACAGAGATCAAGTAATTGAAGATCATGCCATTACATCTTGGCTCTTGCAAAGCTTAGATTCAGTCCAACTCCAAAAATCTGTATCCTTTCCAGACACTGTGAGAGAATGATTTGATTCAGGTTTATAACCTCATGCTTTATTTATTGAACAGATAAGTGTGATGAACAATTCATTTGCACAGGGGAATTAAGTCAATTAATTTATTTCCTCTGACCCATTTTCAGGCCTCAATTCCACATTTTCAGCTTCTCAGTGCTTACTTGCATCTATATTTGAACATGTGTGTCAATGTGTGTCACTGTTGGTGTATTTATTACTGGATTTGCAGGGCCTGTTGTTGGTTGCCCAAAGACTGTGAGGGATGCCTTAAATCTGTTTTCTCCCCTCCCTTTCCTTCCTAAAGCTACTTAAGTACTCAGGACCTGTCCCCATATAAGGTCCTGTCTGAGGAAGTTGTTCAGTATTGTTGTCCCCCCCTTCCCCTCACCCACCTCTTTCAGAGTGGTTTTTTAAGAATTGGTGGTTTCCTGCAGCTGTCAGCTGGTTACTCTTGCTGCCAATGATTTTGGCTTGCTCCCAGCAACAGTCAATGAGGAAGGTGTTCAACTGGTTCAGAAGCATCCTTTTATATGTTACAAGAAGCATCCTCTTATATGTATTACCAATAAAATGTTAATACATTAAATTCTACTCTCTTCCTCCTTCCTCCTCAACAAGCCCTGACCATGAGATGGTTTTGTCACTTACCATCAATCTGGTATTTTAGACAATAAAATATTATAATGCTATGTGAAGATTAAAGAAGTGGGGCTAGAGATGGAGTGGAAATGTAAATTAATAGCTTATTCCACAGCATACACCCCACCCCAAACACTGGCTCTCCCACCCTCACCACAAAATTAGTGACTGGACAAATGCCCAGATTTCTTCTGCTCTAACTGCTAAAACAGAGAATCTCAGGGACAGAAAGATTTGAAAGAAATTGGCCCAACTCACAGCTATTGCTTCAATCTCCTCTCCCACCTCAAACACACAGTCACCCTTGCCATCCTATAAAAGAGTTGTCTCTGCTTGAACTTCTGAAGGGACTGGGCTCTCCCACAGCCACTGATTGTTCTTTCTTCAGCTCAACATCATTCTTTTTCCCTTAAGGACCAGATATCTGAACTGTCTCCAGGCTTTCCCCCCTCCTGTTATTCCCGTTTCTCCCCTGTTTGTTCATCCATACCCCAGCTCAGCCCCATAAAGGCCATAGATCAGGCAGACTGGAGTCAGGGCTCATCCTGGCTCTTTGAGGGAGGTATGCACTCCTTAATCCGTAGGAAGAACTTGCTGGATTCCTGACATCAGGATATTAGGCAGTCTATGGCCTGGTTCTGGGGAGGGTCCTATGATGAGAACATTCTGGAAAGGGGTGAGGCCTTGCTTGGGATTTAGGGCCAGAATGCCCATCACTTCTCTTTGGGGAGCAGCTCTCTCTTCCTTTCACTGCCGAACTCCACCCACCTACCCACCCAATCACACAGGCAGCCTCTGAGCTCAGGGCCTTCCTGGGAAAAACTTCATGGCAGTCAGAACCTTATTCAGTGAGAAAAGGGCTTTCTCTTAAAATAATACATACGAAAGTGATTTACAAAGTGTGAATTACCATAGACACTAAAGAAACATAAGAAGGGGTATCATGATTACCTGTTCATAAGGCCCAGCCCAGGACACTGTCCTTTTTTATTTTATTTTATTTGACCACACTGCACAGCATGCAGGATGTTAGTTAGTTCTCTGACCAGAGATAGAATCTGTGCCCCCTGCAGAGGAAGCAAATGGAGTCCTAACCATTGGACCACTAGGGAATCCCAGAATTCATCCTCCTTAAACCTCATAGTCCACTGAAGCCTGGGCATCAGTTCAGTTTGCCCTTATCATACAGCTCTTCATATCATCCGAACTTTCTCTTTGCAGAGGTATACTACAAAACATTTCCCCAAATTGCAGTGAGCATCTTTAGTCATGTATTGTTTGTGTTTGTACCTCAGGTTTACTTAGCACCAAACTTGGCTTATTATACCATTAGCTCATAGTATTAAGGTCTATAAACATGTTATTGGTGGCCCAATTTTGCTACTTAGATGAAACATTGGAAGATCACTCTGGCCTTGTCTCACTCTCCTGTTTCTCCCTCCTCTAGCCTGGTTGGTAGGAGGACAGGAGGAAGAGCCAGGGCCCAGCGCAATTGAGAGAGGCGAGGGGGCAGAGCAGGGGCCTCCCTGGTCCCAGTGCTGCCGAGGGAGTGAGTGCTGTGGCCGACGGTACAAACTCCAGTGCACTGTGTAATCAGTGCCTGCTACAGAACTTGAGCAGAGAAGCCCAGCCCCAGTGAGCATAGTATACACTACCACCACACTCTCCATGGCTTGCCTTAATCCCCTAGTCCCAGCACTACATCCCAAGCAATGTTTGGCAGCCCAGCCAGGAGCTACTATGGCAGAATGAAGCACCTCTATTTTCCCTGTTTTCTCTTCCTCCACTTCCACCTCAGGGTCTTCTTTACCTATAGTCCCTGCCTCACCTCCACATTTAGTCCTTCTTTAATCCCTAGCAGTCCTGCTACTGCCTCAAGACTCAAAATTCTTGCAGGGTCCACCTGCCACCCTATCACAAGCCTGTTCCCTTAATCAAAGTCACCCAGTCAGAAGAAAAAATAGAATCGTTTAGTACCCACCTGCCCTTCAGGTGTTTTCCGCCACCACTGAACACCCGGCTCCCCCTTGCCTCAGCTTCTCCGTGCCTTTTTATTTTTGGCCCTCCTGACTCTCCCACACCTCTTATTAAATTCCATTCTAACCTCACGTCTTCAAAGAAGTCTGCTGGGTTTACACTGGTTTCTAGGGACTCTGTGCCTGTTACTCAGTACTCACAAGGGTAATTCACTTCACTGTTTTGAAAATACTGTAACATTTGTTCAGAATAACCCTGTGGGAAGAGGTATTTTTAGCCCTCTTGCACACATAAGCAAACTAAGGCTCAAAATCTGTGCCTTTCCACCACTACCAGCTAATAAGATGCTGAATCCCAGCTCAGATTCAGACCCACCAGCTCCCACTCCGGTGGTCTTTCTGAAACAACTTCTCCAGGACCCCCTTAACTAGCACTCTCATTACTAAGCACTGTTTGTATGTATTGACATAGTTGTTCTTGTTATTTTTCACATTCATGTTTTTGTCAACTGTGCTTGTACTGCAGTGTTTATTAAGTCTCCACATGGTTGGGAGCCTCCAGGAATCAGGGACAGGATTGTCCTTTCTCTGACAGTCCTTCAAAATTCAGGGTCGGGCTCTGCCAACCAAAGGAATTGAGCCTGGGGGCGAGGCCAGGCACCACTGATGCAGATCTTTGCCGCCTTCAGATGCACTGCAGACTCCATAGACAGTGGAGCTGAGGACAGCAAGGTGGTGATAATAACAAGGACAACAGTTGACATTTGTTGAGCACTTATTGAGTGCTAGGCATTATGCTAGTTCTTTATTTACAGTATTTAATCCTTATAACAAATTTACAAAGGAGGTATTATTATTTTCAAATGAGGAAACTAATGTTCAGAGATGCGGAATCAGGGTGCAACCCACATCTGTCTGACTCCAAAAGGAGCACATAAATAGCAGAACTCAATTTATATTTAAAAAATATGATAATCCCTTACTCCCTGAAGGCCTATCCTACCCTTGACTCTTTCTTTCCCAGAAAATAAAATTCAAGGAAAGGAAAGCTGGGCAGGATGAACCACACACACACACACACACACACACACACACACACACACACACACACACACTTTGTCACACACGTACACCTATCACCACCACCCTGGATTTCCTAGACAGGGTGAGGGTTATGAAGGCAGGGGATCAGTTTCCCCAGTACCCTGACCCTCATCCCCATCCCTGGTACTAAATAAAAGTGAATAAATACGAAATAAATACAACTGGGGCCCACCCTGCCTTCCCCCTCCCTCCTGTGACCAGCAGGGCAGAGGGGGCAGTTTAGATAGGGGACAAACTCCCAGCCCCTTCCATCCACCAGCCATCCAGGGCAGGAAACCCCAGCAGGGCCAGCCTGCTCGGTAGGGCGGAGACGAGGGGCGGGGCTCACTAAGCCCCACCCCCACGGCGTCTCGGGGTGAGGCCGCTGCAAAGGTCTCTCGTTCACCCAGCTAAGTCCGAGGCCCCGGTGCCCAGAAAGGGCAGCCGGGATGGTGAGGTTATTTCCTGCCGGCCCAGGAGCGCCGCCGGAGGATCTCCAGAATCTGTGCCTTGCGGCGCAGCCAGTCCTGGGGAGTGGGGCGTGGCGTGGAGGGGGCCGGTCGGGGCACGAAGAAGCTGTATCGGAGGCGGGCGTTCTGCGGGTTGCCAGCCACTAGGACCTGCAGCGTTAAGGGCTCAGCCAGGGGCCCGTGTCCCGACAGGGTCTCCGAGGCTGCAGTGGCCCCGCTGTAACGCAGGCTGACTGCCCCGGGCAGCGCCACGTCTGTGGGGGACGGTATCAGCGTGTAGTCACCGTTGAGGGCATAGGAGCCATCGGGGAGCTTCAGGGCCAGGTAGAGGCTCCGGACACTGGGGCTCCCCTGCTGCCGCACCAGGATGTGGGTGGCCCCGGCGGGGATGGTGACCACGCTGTTGTATCCGTACCTGTGCGCGAGGAGAGGAGAACTCAGCATCCTGGTGAATCCTCCTGCCACTCCGAGCAGGGTGTGTACCACCACACGTGTGCAGCAGGTTGTCGCCCCGGACCCACCTGAGCGGTCCAGCCAAGATCTGAGCTACCTGCAAATGGGTGCTGCTGCCGCTTCTTCGTGGGCCCTTACCCCTGCCGCCCCTTCTTGAGGTGCCTTTCTAAGCCCCTCCTTGGAGCCTGTCCAATTCCTACTCTCCCTCCAGGAGGGAGGTCACCTCCTGGAGACACCTTCCCCAGTCCCCACAAGGGCCCTCACGGCAGGTCCAGGCTGACACTCTGGAGCAGGTATCTGTCTCCCCTACTAGACTCCCAAGTCAGCTCTTTGAGAGGAGAAACAGTGTTGAGGATACCTCTATGTCCCCCGGAAGGTGGAAGTGAACAAACCTGAATTTTTTGAAGGAGCCAGACTGCTTGATGCAGCTGGAACCATCCCCACCACACACCATGCACTTGTCAAACTTCTTTTTGGAGCCAATGACGCGGTCACAGCCGGCATGAATGCAACGGCCCTGGACACAGACTGAGGAGCTGTCTGGGGAACAGGGGGTCCCATCTGCCACCTGAGGAGAAGAGAGGGAGCGATGAAAGGGTCTTCCTACACCAAAAGGTGTTAGTAAGCCAAACAAAAGCCATATCCCATCAGGGAGGGGATGTGGATGGAAGGTGGAGGGAACCCTAGGCTCTGTAAGGGATGAAAATCATAATGACAATGATAAAAGCCACCCTTTTCAGAACGCTCACTCTGAATTAGACACTGTGCTAAGTGCCATATAAATCTCCCAACCACTATTTGAGGTTTGTAGAGATGGATCACTGAGGTTTAGAAAGAACAGGCGCTTGCCCAAAGGTTACACAGCTGGCAAGAGGAGATGCCAACGTGAGAATTGCAGGTCTGAGTCCCAACACCAAGCCCTCAACCTTGGTGTAGTATCCCGGCTAGACGCTAGAGGGCAGTCAACATGTAGGCATTCTCCCCAAGAACAGGGTGAAGAAGGCAAAACTGCTGGTCTTGTTCTTCCTTCTTCAGCTTCAACCCAGGGCCCTATCACAGAGAGGGGTGAGGCAGGGCCATCACCCTCTCCAGGAGGCCTGTTTAGTGGGGGACTGGCCACCCATGAGCTCAATGAGGCCACCACTGTAATTCAACAGAGCAGCCCATCCGTTGGGGGTCAGAGATGTGCCCAAAAGGCCACACGCTTCCATTCTCACCAAATGGAGCCCTGGGAGATGGGGAGAGAAAGAGCAAGAAACCAATGGAAATGCGACAGGCTAGCACGGCCCGATTGACAACTTATCCAGAGTCCAGGGCCGATTTTCCAAATACCCATAACACAGAGAAGTCTGAATGGAGCCCTGGGCTGGCCAGGCATGGCCGTGGGAACTCCAGCAATAGTGCTGTTTTGGATCTTGGCCACCAGAAAGCAGAGGGCCTCTGGGGGAGTGAGTGGGCACAGACAAGGCCCCGGGGCATTCTGGTCCTCACCCGTGGCTCCAGCACGTAATAGTAGCCCAGTGCCCGGGTCTGGCAGGTGAGTTTGCACTGGTCCCGGGGGGCCACACCAGTGTAGCGAGGAACCCAGTCCATGGGCCCAGGGAAGTTCTTGAAGAGGTCAGTGCGGTGGTTGTAGGCAGCACACTGCTCTTCACGGAAGGTCAGTGCTGTAGGGTTAAAATGCACAGTCAGAGCCCCTCTCCCTCACACTGCCCCACCAGCCTCCCGTTAGCCTCTCATACCTTCTAGACAGTATGGCAGCTCTCCACCCCTCAGACTGCCTGTCCCTCCCCTCCACAGCAGGACCCTTAACACCTTCTTGGTCCCTGAACCCACGGGACAGTGCTTTCTGTTCTCCCAGCGCTTTCCGAGGGGTCCCATCCCTCCCACTCCTCACCTGAGCCAGTTGGGCAGTCCTGGGTGTTGCAGGAACGGAAGCGGGTACGGCGGCCCTCACAGTACTTGCCACCATTCCGGGGGACGGGCCGTGTGCAGTCCCGGGAAGAGAACTGGACACCACCCCCACAGCTCCGAGAGCAGTCACCCCACGGTCCCCAGGGACCCCAGCCACCGGCCTGTGGGACCTGCAGAAGGACAGAATGGAAGAGTGGGGTCAATGTACTCTCTTGGGCTCAGAGCCAGTCACCACTCTCCCAGGCCCTCTGGCCCTCCCCTGCCCTGGGATCTCACGTTGAAAGCCTGGAGCTGGTCCACATGGAGGCAGCGGCCACCCATACAAGCCTGTGCGGGCCCGCAAGGGGTACCATCAGCCCAGGGTGAGTGCTTGGTCTGGCACATGGCATGGCCATTCAGATGGCCAGAGCACCAGAGGGCAGCACAGGGCGGGGGCAGCTGTGGACAATGGCGCGAGTCAGGCCCAAAGGTCAGCTGGCACTGGCGGTCAGCATCATAGTCCTTCCCGGGGAAGGTCACGGGCAGATGTAGGGGAGCCTCTGGCTTGTCTAGAAGACAGTGCCCTGGGAAAAGAGGCAGGGGGTTATGAAGTCAGCAAGAGTTGCAGAGGTGCCTGCTGGTCATCAGCTGAAACCTTGGGTTCCCCGGGGGACTGAGGGATCCTACAAATTCTAGTACTGGAAGAAGCTTTAAATAGCAGCTACAATTTATTCGATGTTTATTCGATGAGCATTGACTAAATGCTTGACCAACAATATGTGTTTAATCATGGCCAGCACCTGTGAGGTAGTTACTGTTATTATGCCTACTTTATAGATTGGTTATGCAGAAGTGAAGTAACTTACAGTCACACATCTACACACATCAAAAAATAGGATCAGGAGAGGAGCTCACAGCACTAGATCTTCCTACCTAGTCTAACCAACTACAGACTTCTTGATCTGCTTCTCATCAACAGCACTCCCGATCATAGCCATACTGCTAAGTTTGCACACCTCAAGTGACAAGGCCTCCTTCACAACTGGCCCCGTCTGATGTCGAACAGTTCTGGCCCTTAGAAGCTCAGTTTTAATTCTTTTGAGGCCAAAACTTGCCTCCTGTAGTTGTGCTATTCATTCTGAGAGGAAGTGGGAACCAAAAGCAGCAACGTTTCTCATCCCATCCCACGTTTACAGGAAGCATGTTGGAAGCAGTCAATTTGGCCCATGTGGGATGCAGGAGAAGAGGAAGTACTGTGAGGGGCAGGAGCTGCATCCTGCACAGGGCCATCTGCTTACCGTAGCCATTGTCTAGGAAGTCAGTGATGAAGCGGGCACTGCAGGGGGACCAGGGCTCCTCGGGATCCACGTGAGCCATCACAGGAGCCATGACGTGGCGGGAGGTGCTCTCAGGCCCATTCAGACCAACACATGGCTTTGAGTTGTCATGGAGCATGCTGAAGACATGGCCTGTGGAGCAGAGGCCCTGTTAGTGTCCAAGAATCCCATCCTTGTGCCCTCAAGGGGTTGCAGACCCATCAAAGCCTGGCTGCAGCTTTGGATGATCAGATCCTTTCCATATCTCATTCTGCCCCCAGTCTCTTTCTGGTGCTCCAAGGGCTTCTCAGTATGTAGCCCCATTTCTGTCTCCCTTCCCCCTGATATATTCAGGGGCCCTCCCTACTCACTTTTCCTTACAGCCAACATTCCCAACCCCGATTCCATCCATTCTGTCATTGACTGTTGTGAATAATCTCTCTCAACACTGTCCCACCTCCCCCTCCAAACACACACACACACACACACACACACACACACACACACAACCAAGTTCACAGTAGATTTCTACACACTATCTCACTGAACAGAAAATTTTAATTGTTTGTCTACATGCTGAGCAGAGAAGGGTAATGGCCCTGGACTGAGGCTTGGGGAGAAGGAAGAAAAACTTGTGACCTCCACTTGTGCCCTGGTGAGCTCACCATTGCCTTACCTCACCCCCGACAGCTCTCCAACTCCTCAAGGGTGCCCCATGACCCCAGCCCCAGCTTACCGAGTTCATGAGCAGCAGTGAAGGCTGACTGGAGCCCGTCATCCTCCACGATGGCACAGCTCCGAGCGGGGTCACACACGGTGCCCACATCAGCCATGCCGAGAGTGTCACAAGTAGAAACTCCGCACAGGTCCTGTGGAGAGGGGTCAGAAACACTGCGTGAGGAACCAAGACACTGGGGTGCGCTGCATTGGTATCCAGAGCAGTGGGGACCTGGGCACGCACCGACAGCCCTGGCAGTGTGGCTGGGGCCAGGCGCCATGCTGGGCTACTCCAGCGGCACCGTCCACACCAGAGTCTGTGCAGCGGTGCTTCCTGAAGGTGCTGCCCGGGGCCTCACCTGCCGGGTGAACAGAATGGCTGTGTCAAAGTGGCCGGGGTCCACGTCGTCGGGGGTGTTGAGTCCTCGTTGCCAGGCACAGAAGCTGCGCAGGGTCTGGGCGGCGCTGGGGCCCACCTGGGGCCCTTCCTCACCTGGCCCCAGAACCACCAGCCGCGTCACCACCAAGCTGACGGGGTTGCGGATGCTCGGGTGCTTGAAGGCCTTGGCTGCCGCCGCCATCACTGTCAGCAGGTAGCGCTTGAGCCCTGCGCCGTGGAACGCCGCCATCTTGTCGTCTGCCACCACCAGAGTCTCCACAAATCTGCTCAGCGAGGCAAAGCGCTGCAGAGGAAAAGAGGGAAGGAGGAGCCTGAAATAGCCTCCCAGACCCGTGGACAACTTCTCCCCTCCCTCACTTCCTAGGTCTGGAACTCAGCAGAGCCAGATGGGCCTCACATATCCCACGGGATTCTTGAAGGGTCTGGTGAGGCCTCTCCCCCCGCCCCCCCAACTCCAAATCCCTGGGCTTTTGCGGTAACTCTGAGAAATCATCTGTTGGTTCTGAGAAGAGGAGGGGATAGGGAGGCCATGTCCCAGGGCTGTGTGGGCCCCTGAAGTGAAAACCAGTTGGGACTGCCTCTGGGAGGGACCATGGGGTCCCCCAAGCCCAAGTGTGGCCGGGGCCTGCAGGACTGGGGCTGGAGGGCTGGGCTGCAACGTGTCTGCCCTGTGTGGTTGGAGGAATAATTCAGTCAGCAGCTAGGGCCAGGGCCAGATCTCAGCGTGGCGGGTGAGGAGGGAGCGTCTGGTCTGGATTAAAGTTCGAGAGGGAGGGAGGGAGGAAGGGAAGAAGGGGGGAAGCAGGAGTGGGAGGGAGGAAAGGAGGGAGCCTCAGGCAGCCGTACAGTCAGTCCACAGTGTGGGAAGGACCGACCAGAAGACGGGAACGGACTTCAGGGTGCCTTGCCTCCCCTGTCCGCTCCTGCCCTAGTTGGTAGTATGCCAGAACAATTTTGAAGACAGCATCAGAAGCCAGAGGCCAATCCCTCGGGCCTCAAACCTCATTCCTTTAGCTGGTGGTGGGGAGAAAGTCAAACTTTGGGCCCAGAAAAGAGTTAGGGCCAGGGGGGCTGTTAGGAGGGCCTCACTGTTGGGGACTGTGCCAGCAGGATGCCACAGCCAAGCAGGGGCGGGATGGGGAGAGGGAGCAGTAATTCCCAGCACAGAGTCTCTGACCCACCTCTGGGAACCACCCCTTGGGATCAGCGATCTGGCCAGAAGAAGGGCTGGGGCAGGGAAAAACCAGAGGCTTCCCAGGAAAGGAGGCTAGTGGAAAGAGAAAAGGCAGGCAGAAGGGAGGGAGCCGCAGACGGGCCAGATGTGGAAGTGGGTGGAGAGAAGGTGAATGGGGGTCAGTAGGACAGACATGGCAGGACACGGCAGGACGTGGACTCCAGGATGGCCTACCTTAGCCCTTCGGGGGCTGGGGCTGGGGTTCCCTGCAGGAGCCTTGACGCTGCACATGGGGCCCTGGCCACTGACAGGACTCTTCCGGCGTAGGACGTGAGCCCCAGGCCCCCCAGCGGAGTTAGGCGTGCCTCCCTCCAGGGGCTGGATGTGGAGTTCCGTCCCTCGGTACTGCAGCACCCCTAAAAGTGCTCCCCCATCCCAGTGCAGAGATGCCACCGACTCCGGATCTCCGTTGATCGTGCCGGTGAGGTAGGTGCCCGGCTCCGCCCCACCGAGCAGCTCCGGCGCCCGGCCCAAGTATTGCACCGTCAGTCCCTCAACCTGCACGCCGGGGTCCTTCTCCAGCTCTAGCAGCAGCGTCTCCCCAAAGGCTGGCAAGCGGTACAACAGCCTGGCAGGGGCGCCCAAACCAGGCAGGACGCTGCCGTTGAGCTTCTCTGGAAACACGATCTCCTCCTCACGGGGGAGGGGGCTGGCCAGCCAGGCTGAGGGCAGGAGGGAGGCTAGCAGCAGCAGCCACACCAGCCAGGAGACGGAGACTGGCACAGTGGGGAGCAGCAGGCGGGGCTGGCTTCCCCACAGCCAGCCGTCCGCCAAGCCCCTCCGGGGATGCGAGTCCGTCTGGGACATGGTACTGGTGCTGCAGCTGGGCAGACCTGAGGCCGGCTGGGCACCCAGTCCTCCCTGCCCCGGCTTTGAGAAGCTCCTCTCTGCAGCCTGGGGGCTCGGACTCATGCCAGGGTCAGAGGCAGAGTTTTCAGAGGGCCCGGGGACCTTCAGAGGAGATGGAGGAAACGTGGCCCTTAGGCTTAGAAGTGCCTGGTGGTCTGGTTCCTCCACACTCGCCTCCCACCCCTCCTTCTCCCGGGCCTGTGTCTCCCTGCTTGTGTCTTCTGCAGCGTCTCTGGCTTCTCCCTCTGCTCTCTCAGACTCTCTCTGGCTTCGCTTCAATGCCTGTCCTCTCTCTGCCTCCTTCCGCCGTGCCTTTGTCTCTTTCTCCTCCTCTCTCTCCCGTGTCTATGTGTCTGTGGGTCTCTCTGTGAGTTCTTCCCAGCTTCTCTCCGCGCCAGCTCTTTTTAAGCATCCCCAGCTGTTACACGATTGGCTGAGCAATAAGCCATTCAGCCCAGAGCTCTGGTGGCAGAACTCAGATGGGTGTCTCATTGCTTCCCAAAAATCCATTTGTTTTCCTTTAAAAAAAAAAAAATGGGACTTGCCCAGACCCAGTTGTTAGAGGGAACTCTCGAAGGCACTGGGCCAGCTGATGACATAGCCTTTTCCCAAACTCCACAGTCGGCTCTCAGCTGTCTCACTCTGGTGCAACAGAGCCCCGGGAGGGGTAGGAAGTCAGGGAAAGGGCCTGACCAACACGCAAAGAAAGGAGCAGAGTCCCAGGAGAATTCTTGCTCCCGCTGTCTAGCCTTTTCTCAGGGATCCTTCATGATGCTCTCTGCCCCTTAGGCTGGTTTTCAGGGCCAAGGGAACTTGAGTGAGCTGCCAGGGAAAGAGGGTGGGGAACAGGTAACGAAGCATCAAGAGGGCAGAACAAAGAAAGGAGGTGACTTGACACAGCTCAGGAACCAAGCAGTTGGAGAGAGTACAGAAGGCCAAAGAAGGGACAGGCAAGGAGACAGTGATCAGGAAGGGTACTGCTCAAACGCAGGATGAGCCTGCTTAGAACAGGCACATGAAGCAGGCAGAGGCCACGGCAGACAGGATTAAGGACTTTTATAGAAGGAAGACCTAGGGTGGCACCTCTGATTCCCTTCTTTCCCTTAGGCTCCCCCTTCCTGAATTACCATTCCCCGCCCCCTCCAAAGCCCAAACAGCCTCGTTGCCTCCATTCCCCCCAGGGCTCCCCCTCCCCACTTCCTGACTCCCCATTTCCCTGGCCCGGTTCCCAGTAGCTTCCCCCAGGCTCTGGGCCTAGCTCCTACCCACTCTCAACTGCCCTGACCCCTCCCCCAGCTTCAAGTCAGTCAACCCCCAGCACAGGAAAGACTTGTTTGCTCAAGATGCACCCTGTGTCAATCCATCAGAGGGAATCCCCACTTGGTTCCCTTATTTTGGCCCCACTTTTCCTAAGAACCCAGTGTTTCCTGGAATACCTAGTAATCTTTATTTCTCATTCCCCATGGGGCAGGGAGAGAGTGGATGCAGCATTGTGTACATCGGGAACTTCGGATACTGAGAGAAACAGAAACCCAGTGCCTGGGATGGGGAGAGTGCTTGGCGAGGAAGAGGTGATGTTTGGGAAAGGAAATGAAACGATTCCCTTGGTTCGGGACTGGAGAGAACTCTGCAAAGGAGTCTTGGGGGTGGACTCTCAAGGCGAGGAAGGAAAGGGTTCCGAAGTAGGGGCGATCTCTGCTCCCCCGTGCTACGGCCACTCCTTTCCCCAGGATATCCCCAGGAAGCGAGTACAGTCAGCACTTTCCTTTCCCAGAGGTGGGCCACCTGCCCCTACCCGCATCCCCTATTCACTCTTTGCCTTGTCACCTCCTGTCCTCCACATCACATCCGCCAGAATACTTCCTCTCCCCTTGCCTTCCTGCTCAGGTTGCTAATACCTGCCCTGGTGCCCATCGCTTCCTGTATCACCCACCAGCTCCTGACTGCCACACCCACCTGTGGACCCCACCACACACCCTGACCCTGGTCCTAAGTGGAGGGGGCTGGCATTGCAGGAGTCAGACAAAGGCTAGGAGACCAGAAGGGGCAGGGGCAAGAGGAGCTATCACCAGAGGGCTCTCACTACCCCTTCCTACCCCCGTCTGAGATGAGGACAAAGGGGGTGACTAAGCAGTGGGAGACAAAGGGCCTTAGAGCCGCAGCAGCAGTGTGTGAGTGTGTGTGTGGGGGGGTGCTGGCAGTAGGCAGAAGGCACAAAAGATGCAGTGTCCGAGGCAGCCCCCCAGGGTCCCTCACCCTAGCTCAAGTTGCCCCCAGGGCCAAGCAGCCCGGAGTCCATCCTGACTTCTCATCTATCCTGATACACACACGTGTGTGTGTGTGTGTGTGTGTGTGTGTGTGTGTGAGACTCAGTTGTGTCCGACTCTTTGCGACCCCTATCAGCTCTGGCCTACCAAGCTCCTCTGTCCATGGAATCTTCCAGGCAAGAATACTGGAGTGGGTTGTCATGCTCTCCTTCAGGGCCTCTTCCAGGCCCAGAGATGGAACCTGCATCTCCTATATTGCAGGTGGATTCTTCGCTGCTGTGCCACCAGAGAAGCTCCTCTTAGGCTGGATTAGGGCAAAAAAAAAAAAAAAAATGCAGTCCCCACCTCATTCTCCGCACTATTACTGCATTCACTGTGTTTCAGGAAGACAAGGCCCAGGGAGTGGGTGGGGAATGAAGGGGGCAGGGAGGCACAGCCTCTGCCTGGCTCTGTGGGGGCTGCCCAGTCTTTCCAGTTTCCATTCATCACAGCGCCAGATATGGCCCCACCCTTTGGTACAGGTCCCATTAGGTCAACTAGAAGTTTTGCTTTCCCCTCTTTCTTTGTAGCTAAGAATTACTTGTGTCTGCCACTCTCTTGGTCTGTCTGTCCCACCCTGCTGCACTGCTGGTGGGCTCTGGCCCAGGGACCCTCTCTGGGGGATATGTGGGGAAAGCCTCTGTCCAGACCAAAAGTGGAAGGGATGTACAAACTCAATGGGTGGCCCAGTTGGAGCTCAGCTTAGAGGCCAAGAGAACAGGAACAAGATCCAAGGCTGGAAAACTCTTCTTTGTCTCTACCACAGAGAACTGGGATCAGACTCCTGATGGTACCACACTTCTATGCCATTGGCCAGGGGAGAGGCCAGGTCAGAAACACATGAGGTAAAAGAGACTGACCAAGGATAGAAGTGGGGTGCCAGGGATCACTAAGGACCCTTCCTGAGTCTGTAATTCTGTAGGTTCTGGAAAGCTGGCAGACATCAGGGTCACCGACAGGAGACCTCCTCTCCTCAGCTAGGATGAGGTGACTCCTGCACACCCCAGCAGCCTGTTCCAATGCTGGTGGCCTTGGCGTCCTACTCTTCTCATTTAGGTTTGGCGGGAGCTCTCAGACCCGCCCAGTCCCACCTGGGCCCCTTTCCCCTAACCCATTTAGGCCATCTGGAAATTAGCTAGCTCCCTCTGCTCCAAATCTTTCGGATTTGGGGATAAGGAGGTAACTGGCAAAGCCTGGCGCTCCCCTAGAAGGGCAGGACGACAGCAGCAGAGCGTCGCAGGCAGAAAGTGGGGAAGGGGCTCCACGTGAGTGTGCGTCTGGCACCGGGCGGCAGGACACCGTCTCAGGCGCGCACGGGCAGCGCGGCGGGGCTTCGGGAGGGGAGCCGCTGCCGCCGGCAGCAGCGGTGGCAAGTTTCTCTGGCTCAGCCTTTGAAGAGGCCGTCAGGAGCGGTGGGAAGCACGGTCCCCGGCCTCCCGCGTTTAAGCGAAAGTGAAGCCGAGGCGCAGAACCCGGATGTCGTCAGGTTAGCGATCGGCGACCCAGCCAGTTTACAGAAGGGCGGCTGCGTGACGCCAATACGCGGGAAGCCCACAAGGAGGCGCGCTGGAGGCACTTCCGCCAGGTTCTCCTTCCAGCAGTCTCCGGCGGGCAAGATGGCGGCGCTCAGGGCTCTGTGCAGCCTGCGGGGCGTCGCGGCCCAGGTGCTGCGGCCGGGGGCCGGAGCCCGACTGCCGATTCAGCCCAGCAGGTGAGACCAAGGGCGGCGCCCGATGCGCTGTCTCCAGGGCTGGGGTTTCTCGAGTCTGGGAACTCCACGGGCCCTATGACCCCCTAGGAAAGAATGACCCAGGCCCGTGACCCCTCTCCCTGGCCTGCCCTCTCGGGTTCCAGGATCCAGTGGTACCTGTTCTGGAGGAGGAGGAAAGATTGTTTCAGCTCGATCTGCCAGGGATGAAATCATTTGGAGGGAGACTCTGCCCCTCAGCATTAGTGGTAATGTCACCCACCCCCCAAACGCCCTGCTGCTTCTCCCAACCCCATCAGGGCTGGGGTGCGACTGGTGGAAAGTCTCCTTAGACGCTGTGAAAGAGAAGGAAAGCAATCCCGATGGACTTAAAGGAGGAACGTAAACCGAGAATCCCCGGGCCTCAGTGCGTCCCTCTGGCCATACTTGAGCAGAGCCAAGGAGCCAGCATGCCCCACCCCCTTTCCTTACTCTTCGGCTGACCTTGAATAAACGCATTTCTGGGATTCGTATTCACTAAGATGGGAACCATGAATATGACCAGAGATTAAAGGACCTGGGATCCCCCATCTTTGCATGCATAGGGTTGTTGGGTGAAGTGATTCCGGGAATAAGTTATTAGTAAGAATGGAACCTCTCGAGTTTTAGTTTGTTCTGCCAAAGCTACACAGCTCTGTCAGGGACTTGTCAGTGATGAGTCCAAGACACCCTGCCCGGGTCCCACGTGAAAGTGCATGGGAGCAGGGGAGCCGAGCACCGCTCAGGCCTTTTGCCTAGGATTTGTCATTGCCTCCCCAGAGGCGCTCGGCAGTGGCAGCCAGATGTGGAATGGGCAGAGCAGTATGGAGGTGCTATCATGTACCCCACCAAGGAAACGGCCCACTGGAAACCTCCCCCTTGGAATGGTGAGTGCCCAGGGCCACTGTCCCAACCCACACACCTCCCTGCCCTGCCCTGATTTCTGAGTGCTCTCGACCTGTCTGTCTGAGGCAAAATTTAGGCCCCAACTCTTTTTGCTTGCAACTCACCGCATATGATAATAATGATAATAGGGTATTTATCAAGTAGAATATTCCAAGGGAAAAGAAAGAGGAGATTCCAGACAACCCTTGAAGATCCCTACCAAATTGATATCTTTAGCTTCAGCTTTTTCCAGGGGTTTCATATATTTCCTGCTAAAGGAGCTTTTTCCCAGGGGCACCCAAATGAAACCTTTCTAAATATGAAACTCCCCCGCACCCCGCCATAAAGCTAGCCCTTCTTGTGATTTTTAATTTTGATCAGTGACTCCCTCATTTTCCTAATCCCTTAGGATTGAAACTTTTTTTTTTGGATTGAAACTTTTTAATCACCTTTGTCTCTTTTTTTCTTTCTTCCCCTCCATGTCTATTTTCAATATGTCACCAAACCATGCAGTTCCTTTTATAGTAATGTTTCACACCTGGTTATCTTGCCCTTTGTTGGTTTGGTTTATTTTATATTAGACCTTGATTATCTTGGGAATCTCTTTAATGGGTTCCTGTACTGATCTAGTTCCCCTTCAGCTGTCCTATACAGTGTCATCACCATTATCTTCCCCAAACATTGTTTTATACTATGTCATTCATTCTTTTGCTCAAAACCTGTAGAAGAACTTCCAGGTACCTTTCAAAAAAGTTAACAGTAATAATAGCTGAGTGCTTATCATGTGCTGAGTGTTTTTTCTATGCATTATTTTACTTAGTCATTACAGTAACGCTGTGAGAGTGATATTATTTCAGTTTTGAGGAAGTCATGGTGTAGGGAAACTAAAAGGTGATCGAGGACACAGGTGGATTTGTATGTGGGTCTGTCTGACCCCACAGCCCACGGTGAAGAATTTTGGTTGCCTGAGTAGAGTCTGGTTTCAGATCTCAACCCTCCATTTACTACTGAATGAAGTACCTACTTTCATAGCATTATTGTAAACATTAAAAGAGATGCTAGTGACATAAACCACTTAGTGTAGTGATTGGCTTGTGCTCAGTCCTCCCTAAGTTTCTAATAATCCTGATAATTGAACCACATCCCCCACTGCCTGCCAACACTAATCTTTTGCCTCTTCCATAGATACATACTTCCTTGCTTATAAGATTTGACATGTTCATTCCATAGCCTAGGATGCCTCTTCTCTCTTCCTGTCTGACTCATTCCCTGTATTTAAGAAGTGTCAATATGGCAACCCACTCCAGTACTCTTGCCTGGAAAATCCCATGGACTGAGGATCCTGGTGGGCTGCAGTCTGTGGGGTCGAAAAGAGTCGGACACAACTGAGCGACTTCACTTCACTTAGACATCAAGCAGCAGCTTCAAAGCCGAAATGGTGGCTGGAAGTAAAATGGAATTTCAGTTGACGAGCCTATATCTTGCCTCCACGAAGTCATCACAGTCTTCTCTCCTTTTTTTAAATACTTAGCTAAGCAACTTACTTGGCACCTTGTGAATCTGACCTGTGTTACTAGTTTCTCACACGTACTTATTTCCCAAACTAAATAGTAAGCCTCTTGCAGGTACCAGCTGTCATTTAGTAGTGGTAAGGATAAAATATACATTTCCCAATTAGTGGGACATTCAGATTTCCCAATTAGTAGGACATTCAGCAGATACAGCTGGAGAGCAGTGTATCTTAGTGGTTAAGAGTGTGGAGTCTGAAGCTGCCCAGGCTGAGTTAAATCCTGACGCTGCCACTTACTGACTCCGTGGGAATTCATTTATCCTTTCTGGCCTCAGTGTCTTCAGTAAGATAGTTGCTACTTATGTGGTTGTTGACATGATTTAATTGATTAAAGTAAGTAAAGTGCTTAGAGTAGTGCCTGGCATATTACAGAGACTGTATGAATGTTATCTATCATTTTTTTTTTTAAAGGTATTCTGAGTGACATGGAAAGAGTGAGGTTCATGGTCCCTCTCCCTCTCATCAGAAAGTTTAGATCTCCCTTCCCTTTGCCCAGCTGATGGTCTTCTTTTTGGTTATGTTAAAGATTGGGAAATTAGCAGGATATGGAATGGTGAGATGGAAGGTATACAGGGAGATGCTAACTCCTTGCTGTCTTTTGGGGGTTTTCAAAGGAATTTGGCTCAACTATTTCCCACTTCTCAGATGTGGACCCTCCAAAGGACACACTGGTGTCGAACCTGACCCTGAACTTTGGGCCCCAGCACCCAGCAGCCCATGGAGTCCTGCGGCTAGTGATGGAATTGAGTGGGGAGATGGTGCGCAAGTGCGACCCTCACATCGGGCTGCTGCACCGAGGCACTGAGAAACTCATTGAATACAAGACCTATCTGCAGGTGTGGGGGTGAACGGGGGCCTGCTGACGGGACTGGGGGTGCTTTAACCTGGGGCTTTGCCAGGTTGCTGCCCCAGAGGCCCAGAGAAGGAGGGTGTCGTGGGGGTTGGGAGGGAACCCTGTTGAGGTTATCGGGACAGCTTTGGTTGGGAGGATGGCAAGATGTAGCAGAGGATGCTGGACTTGAATCATCTGGGTTTGGTTTACCCAGCAGAAAGGCTTTGGAGCCAGAGCTCCACTCCTCACTCTTCTCTGGCTGACTTTTGGCTGGCCCCTGTACCTTTACTCCCGTGCCTCAGTTTCCCTGCCCTTAGATCGTACTAGTACGTCAAAGCTGGTGTCCCTGGGGTCAGGGAGAGAGGAGAGAGACGTCAGCTCCCCAGGACTAACAGCTGATTCTTGTATCTTCCAGCATTCTAAGTTTGTTTTCGAAATACTCAGTGAGTCAGAGTGACCAGGAGGGAGTTAGTGACAGAGTTTGCTGTTTTTGGAGAACTCTGTGACCCAAATAGTAAGGGTCAGATTTGAACAAACTGTATGCTGGGATAGGAATCTGAAGTTTTTCTTTTTACTGTCACGAAGAAAGCTCTTGATAACAGGACGATGGGATTAGGATTTAGAAGCAGCTGCCTAGAATGTGATTCCCCCAAAGTGTCCCGGCAGTGATGGTTTCTGGCCCCACTGTCCAAAGAGTTAACCCCTGTAGCTTCATCCCGCATCACAGTGACGTCAGGGCAAGAACTGGCTGTTCCAAAGAGAGGCGTCTTAGCTCCGCCTCCTTCCTGGAAACCGAAGCAAACAGCTGGAACTTAGCTTTCTTGGTACTGTGGATGAATCCTTTCTAACTATCTCTTTCTATCCTTGTGCTTCCTTAATTTCTTTCTAAGATTTCCTTTCTCCGTCAGTGTCTCAGATAGACATTCTTCTTGGACAGAGGTATCACTTGGCCCAGAAGACTAGGTTGGCAGTGGTGTGCTGCAGCCAGCTCATACTGGCTCGCAAGAACAGAGTGTTAAATTTTCAGTTCTGTGAGTCAGTTGTTAAACACAGCTATCATTAAAAATTAAATGATGCTAGCTTGCAGTTTAAGATATTAAAAATCCAGGTAAGAAGTATGAAAATCCCCAGCTTTGTTATTGTACTGCATTTTTCTGTGCCGTGTTCTCTAGGCTTTTGCTTTTCTGATATCTGTGTAGTGGAAATACTGTGTGATGGTCTTACTCTGCCCTGTGCTGCCTGTGTTCAGTTACGTAGTGTTGGTAGTTTAAAGTGGGACCTTGTAGGAGTGTTTCTACCGTGGAAATGGGCAAACCCGACAGATCAGGGTCCCCCCCACCTCACCCCTTCTGTGTGTTTCATCCAGCCTTTCTCAGACTCCTGAGATCAGGAAGACTTATGTAGCAATGACCCCTGATGCCCACTGAGAACAATGCTTCTAGCAGCCAGACTGCGGGGTCCTCGGCCTGTTAGATGTGACCCAGGTTTCTCCCTCTTCCCAGGCCCTTCCATACTTTGACCGGCTGGACTATGTATCCATGATGTGTAATGAACAGGCCTATTCACTGGCCGTGGAGAAGCTGCTCAACATCCAGCCTCCTCCTCGTGCACAGTGGATCCGAGGTATGCCCCGTCCCCTTCTTCCTGTGGCCCATTGTGAGTATAGCGTAGCGCCTCTGCCCCCCGTCTTAGGAGCATTGAACCAGAGCCTAGTATACAGACCCCAGAACTGTTCTGTCAGCCTGGATCCCCGGCTTCTATACCCAGCTCTTCTTGTCTTCACCTCCCTACAGTGCTCTTTGGAGAAATCACTCGACTTTTGAACCACATCATGGCTGTGACCACACATGCCCTGGACATTGGGGCTATGACCCCTTTCTTCTGGATGTTTGAAGAAAGGGAGAAGGTATGAGGAGGAGGAAAGGATGGGAAAAGGGGAGGAGGTACCTGAGATAGAGAAGGTATGAAGGATATGAGAATAAAAGGAACGCGAACATTTAGGGGGAGAAGGTATATTTAATCTGGGTAATATGTATGTATATATTTAAGTTTCTGTTATATATTTTTATTTATTTGGCTGCATTTATTTGTCTTAGTTGTAGCACGTGGGATCTAGTTCCCTGACCAGGGATCGAACCCAGCCTCCCTACCTTGGGAGCACAGAATCTTAGACACTTTTCCACCGGGGACGCCCCTGGGTGATATTTCTAAGGAGCTTTGTGTTGTGAAGTGTTGGCTGGGCCCCGAAGGCTGGGGGCGGGGCAGTGAACCACCATGATGTTGGACTTGGGGACCCAGGACTTTGTCACTGACTCACTGTGTCCCATCAAGATGTTCGAGTTCTACGAGCGAGTGTCTGGAGCCCGGATGCATGCTGCTTACGTCCGGCCGGGAGGTGTGCACCAGGTGAGCGGGCTGCCGGTCTGCCGCAACCTCCAGTGCTTGCATGTACCCTCCGTGGCCACTGGAGGGCAGCACCACGGATGGGAGCGCCAGCCCTGTGCCCCTGAGGCAGAGCTGGCTCTCCTCAGCAGAGGCTCTATGCTCAGCATTGATCCTCCACTTGTTTTCTAGGACCTACCCCTTGGGCTTATGGATGACATTTATGAGTTTTCTAAGAACTTTTCTCTTCGGATTGACGAGCTGGAGGAGGTAAGATAGGCGTCAGTGGGAAGAATCCCTTTTCCCCCAAGAAGGGTTCGTGGGCTTTTAGTCCCCAGTTGTAAAGAAACACAGAGGTATCTGCGGAGTGTCTTGAGTAGTGTTCATACAGCAGTTTTCTTGATCGACAGATGCTGACCAACAATAGGATCTGGCGAAATCGGACCGTCGACATTGGGGTGGTAACAGCAGAAGACGCGCTGAACTATGGTTTTAGGTGGGAGGACTAAGACTTCTCTCTTTAGGGGCGGGTGGGTTCCAGATTAATATCTTGCCTTCAGGAGTGGCACCTGCCTTGCCAGGCTGGTTCTTTTATCCCATGCCCAGAGTGTGCGGGCAGGAGAGGGGATCCTAAGGAAGAGAGCAGGCCTCCATTCTTGGTTTGTGGAAAGTGACCCTTGATTCTATTACACTCTCTACAGTGGGGTGATGCTCCGGGGCTCAGGCATCCAGTGGGACCTGCGGAAGACCCAGCCCTATGATGTTTACGACCAGGTGGAGTTTGATGTGCCTATTGGCTCTCGAGGGGACTGCTATGATAGGTAAGGCCCAAATTCTTTCTTAGCTCATTGTCCCCCTGGTTTTTTCCCTGTCTACCCTTTATCTTAGCTACTTTCTTTTTTCTCATACTTTTTAGTATCTATCAGAACACCTGTGTGTATTAAATTAGGTTGCTTTTTAAAGCACTTTCATACATGTGACATCTTATTTTACCCTTACATTCTCCTTATGTCTTGGATAGAACTAGTTTTGGCCGCATCTTATAGCTGAAAAAACTGAAGCACAGAAGTTAGAGATTAGCCTGGGATTGTTCTGTCAGTAGTGCTTGAGACTGGAATCCTCCTGATCCAGTGCTCTTTCCACTAGATTCTAAGCTTCAAATTCCATTGCTCTTTACTGACCCCAAGAAAAGTTTGCTACTGTTTTCTTTTTGAGTCAATTTGACTCTCACCTCCAAAAAAATGTTCAAGAGAGTAGCAAAAGAGGGAAATACTACAGGACATAGTCTGAGAAAACTAGGAGAGGATTTGGGAAAGGGCCCAGTACTCAAATCAGAAGACTTAAGTTTTACACAGGTGCCCAGGCCAAGCAGAGATGCCACACTTGGGGAGTGAAGAAAGTTACCTTGCACTGTTCAGTTCAGCCCAGCGCATTCTCCCAGTCTCACCTCCGGTGCTCTGGCTGCTCATCTCCTGTTCTTAGTCTGTCTCATCTCCTTCAGATACCTGTGTCGGGTGGAGGAGATGCGCCAGTCCATCCGAATCATCTCACAGTGTCTGAACAAGATGCCTCCTGGGGAGATCAAGGTTGATGATGCCAAAGTGTCTCCACCGAAACGAGCAGAAATGAAGGTTGTTGCCCACTTGTGTCCAGCTCTCTGTGACCCCACAGGCTGCAGCACACCAGCCTCCCTTCCCTCAGCATCTTCCGAAGTTTGCCCAAGTTGGCTACAGGGATAGAAAAAAGGGAGGCGGGGCGACAAGGGGCCGTGACTGGGGAGGAGTGTCTTTGGATTAAATTCTACTTTTCAGTTTTCCTTTTTCAAAGAATTCACTGTGTAAGATTGTTAACCTCCCATACTCTCCTCTCTCTGTATCTTCTCTGCTCACTGACTTATGTGGGGGATTTTAGACTCCCTGGGGTAGAGATTATGTTGTGTGTGTGCAAAGGCCTGCCATACAGTTTGGATCTGGCCTGTTGACGCTCCCTTATTCCTTTCCCCAGACATCTATGGAGTCACTGATTCATCACTTTAAGTTGTACACTGAGGGCTACCAGGTTCCCCCAGGCGCCACATACACAGCCATCGAGGCTCCCAAGGTGAGGCGGGAAAGGGAAGGGAGTGACAATGTGTGCAGTGGGAGACTGGAGACAGGTGTGTGCAATTAAAATTAGGTGAAAGAGAGGACATGAGGGTGAATAGAAAGGATTTTGTTGGCAGAGAAGAATGTCCTTCATGTTAATGAAGGCAGCCAACCTTCTTTGGACAGGGAGAGTTTGGCGTGTACCTGGTATCTGACGGTAGCAGCCGCCCTTATCGATGCAAGATCAAGGCTCCTGGTTTTGCTCACCTGGTAAGAACCAATCTCAGTGATTCTAACTCTTAATACGTGAATGCAATAATGAGTGACCTTGGTTGAGATCTTTATGAACTTTCATTCCTTCTCCACCTTTCTTATCTCGCCTAATACTTGCTGTCTTAATCTCTCCAGGCTGGTCTGGACAAGATGTCTAAGGGACACATGTTGGCGGACGTCGTTGCGATCATAGGTACAAGGCCTGTTGTGTGGTGGAGGCGTTCTAGTCAGGGGACTTTGGAACTCTGATTGGGAACAGAAGCCGAACACTTCTGTTCAACAGACTACAGGCGTGGACTCAGATCCTCAGTCTCCTGGGCACTGTAATGACTTCTAGATCCTTGGTAACATCACTTTTTTTTCTCCTTCCCCTGACCTCCTAGGTACCCAAGATATTGTGTTTGGAGAAGTAGATCGGTGAGAAGGGGAACAGTGTTGGACCTCCCTGCCCTCTGTGGAGCCTCTCCATCATTGGAAATGGGCCTGTGTGTGTGTGTGTGTGTGTATACATGTACATGAATGCTTAGCTGTCAGGCTTTCTGTGCATGTACTAGAAAAGGAGAAATTATAATAAATTAGCCACCTTCTGGCCCCACACCCAAATTTCTGGTTTGTCTTTCCCAGTATCATACTGTCTTTCACTTTAAAGAGAAACTTAACCATCTACTTCTCTGTTAGACTCAGTCCTTGGCAATTTTTCCTGTTCATCTCCACCCCCTGTTCTGACTGTTGTTCCACTTCTCCATTCCCCATTTCCTCTTTTCCCCTCACTTCCCCCCATGCCCAAACCTTGCTGCCCGCACTAATTGATAAACTCCTCAGATCAAGATGGGGTCCAGAATTCCAGATGGGAGAGAAGGGTTATCATGGGGTCTTAGAGAATCCTGAGGGGCAGTTTATCACTGCTCTGTCTCTGAACAGGGCTGGAGTGAGAAGGGGGCTTTAGATAGCCTTTCCCAAGCACAGGCGTCCCCTCTTTCCATGGTGACAGGGAAGGGTCGGTGGTCATTGAAGGACGGAGGCGCGGGAGTTCAGACCTCTAGCTCCTTTCCTTGGTTGGCCCTTCCGGGAGCTGCTCGTTCTCTTGCAGGAAGGGGAAGGGGCCAGAGCTCGGAGGAAGGCGTGGCAGGAAGGGGGGAACTCTGTGGTCAGGGAGCTGCTCACAGCACAGCTGCGCAGTGCCCGCAGAGCGTCAGATCCCCAGCTCTCGGCCCCTCAGCCCCTGCCCAGGATGATCCCAGCAGTGTTCCTGCTCTTACTCCTTTTGGTTGAACAAGCAGGTGAGAGGTTTGATGAGGGACGGTGAGCTGGGCTCCAGGGTGGGAATCAAGGGCCTGTGTCTGAGGGACAAGGCGGGAACAGACAGAGGGAGGCCGGCATGGGGCAGGTGGACACAAAGACCCTGAGGCTGGTTCCATCCAGTCCCCATCACAGCACAGGGGTTGTTCCCTCTTGTCCCCTTCTTACTTTTTCAGGGCTAATACACACATAAGGCTTCAGTTTGGCAGAGGAGTGGTTCTACGATGTGAAAAGCTGGTCCGGGGGAAAGCTTCCATTTCCCATAATGAGCATTTTCTGTGGGGTGCATTTGGTCTTGTCCATTGGGAACTGATCTCTAGCTGGTTAAATAACAATTACAAAGCCCCCTTTAGGAAGGCAGGGGCCTGTCCTTGTGTTTAGGGGTGAGGCGAGGGTAGTTAAACACGATTGCTGCTTCTAAGGGGTTTTCAGTAAGGCACAGCTGACGTGAGGGCGGGCGGCACACATCCTCAGGTCTAGAGAGCTGGGAGCATCAGCTGAGAAATACTGAGGCAGAAAAGGAAGGCCTCTGCAGTTCTGAGGCTCCATCATTCTGACCTCTCACTTCTTGCTCTCTTGGAGTTGTCTGTTTTTGAAGACGGATAGTCACAGCTGGGGTTCGGGGAGGAAGAGGTTAGTGAAACTTAAGGGAAGTGGGGAAATTAAAAAAGACGGAGTGGGATGGACTTCCACCAGCCCGGTCGTGAAGGTGGAGGGAAGGTCTAAGTGGGGGGCTAGTCTGCTGCCATGAGGTGAGGTAGCAGGGCCATTGAGGCATAAAAGAGAGGGTGCAAGCTTTAAAAGTGGAAAACCTGGGTTTGAATTAAAAATCTGTCACTTAACTCTGTGGCCCTAAAGAATTACTTTTCTTGGGTTTGGTTTCATCATCTACAAAATGGCGATGATGTTTCCCTCAAGGGGTAGCTTTGAGATTTATGCAATACTGTGTGTGTGAAAGAAACGTCACAGCACAAAACGCGCTTAACTGATACCTCACATGCTCACGAGCGCTTCTGATAGGGGTCGGAGCTGATAGAGGCTGGAGCTCAGGCTTTATTTGATTTTTTTCATTGCACAAAACTTCCTCTCTCAGTGGCCCAGAGTGAGTAACAGGGCAGAGTACCCGGAGCCGGAATCCATACAGCTTGCAGTCATTCCCTTGAGCCTGGGCTGAGACACTCGGTCAACCTTGTGTGCAGAGCCATCGGTATCCATAGGCCAAGGAAAGCAGGCACCTTTTTTAAAAAATATATTTAAGTGTCTCAGGATGGGGGTGGTGAGGGGGGAAAGCAATGTGGCTGAGGCTGGATGACCAATAATAGAGTGATTGCCTTCCCTCCCTTCCTCAGCTCACATCCTTCCTGTCCAGCCCTCAGCCACAGGTCACAGGACTTAGCAAAGACACCCCTGTGGTTTCTTTGCTGAAGTTTGTCACTGCCTCCCCTCACTTTACCCCTCTGGGCTGAGGTTTTCAGCCCAGTGAACACAAATGGGTCCCTTGAGGGCTATGAAGTGCTCAGTGGTGCCTGAGGAACCCACAGTGCTAAAAAATTGGTTGGGGGCTAAAAGGGGAAGGCTCTCAACTCTCAGAAACCGTAAGTTGCCTCACAACAGACCCTTCACACTCTTGTCCTACCCCTACCCTAGGGTGAGGGAGAAGACAGAGGGGAGAGAAATATCGACCCGGAGAGGAAGATGAAGTTTCCTCCCTTGGAGGGTGCTCCTTCAGGCCCCGTCCTACCTCCCAGAGCCCTTCCCTTCTCTGCTCTGAGCAGCAGATCTTCCCTGCTGCCCCTGACCTGATGCGCACCCTCTGTCCCTTCAGAGGCCCTGGGGGAGCCTCAGCTCTGCTATATCCTGGACGCGATCCTGTTTCTCTACGGTATTGTCCTCACCCTCCTCTACTGCAGACTCAAGGTAAGGCAGGGGCAGGCTGGGCCGAGGGCTGGAAGGAGAGGTGGGAGCCTGGGGGCCGCGTGGCTTCGAGGAACGGGGAAAAGGGGATTGGAAGTTCCCCCATGAAGTCTGGAGGGGGTTTGGGCCGACCAACTTCACCTTTGCTAATGACCTGCCTCTCCTCCAGTTGCAGGTGCGAAAGGCAGCTGCAGCCAGTGAGGTACGAACCCAGCCTCAGAGGGGCGCCTGTAGCTGCTCAGGCTCGCAGCCCTTCTGGGGCCTTAGCCTTGGGGTCTGTGGTCTGTGGGGGGCGGGGGGGCATGGGACTCAGGTGCCGATCTGCGAGCTTCAGAGACCCCCTTCCCACCTCATCCTACCCACCCTGCCAGCTAGCCAAGTCACAAGGGAAATATTCAGCAGGCACCGAGGAAGAATCAAGTGGAGAGTGACCGCGAGTACACGAGAGAGCTGAATGTTGTGTATATATGTGTGTTGTAGTGTTGTGGGCAGATGTGCGTTCATGCCCCAGCCTGAGGGAACTGGTCACTCCTGGCCAAATGCTCCCTGGGAGGGCAAGATGTTGAGGGGTCCTGTAGGACATGTCGGTCTCTAATGCTTTGCCCCTTTTGCCTCAACAGAAATCCGATGGCGTTTACACGGTAAGTGAACCTGCCTCCCACCCCCTACCCCCTGTCCAGGAAGTCAGCAGAAGAGGGTGGGCTTTTGAGTGACCTTTGGAAGGGGTGGAGCCTGCGGGGGTGGCTAGGAGGCCCAGTGATGGGTTCAAGCTCCTGACTGTCCTTTGACCTCTATCTCCAGGGCCTGAGCACCCGGACCCAGGAGACTTATGAGACCCTGAAGCATGAGAAACCACCACAATAGCTTTAGAACAGATGCCCTTTGTCACTTCCTTCTAACACTCTCCTCCCAGCCCTCGTGGTTGGCATCACACATGCCTCCCCACCGTTAATGCCAGTTGACCCTACCCCTGTGATGACATTCTGCCCCCCATTAATAATCACCAGTGATTCCTCCTCCTCGTCAAAGACCTCAGAAGCTCTTCATTGATGTTTATATTCTAGTCTCACCCCTTTATGCCACCCTTCCCCCTTCCCCATCCCCAGGTCCCACTAAACAATGGGAAGGAACTAACATCAATAAAGACACCACAGACTGGACTCTATTCATTCATTCATTTAAGATATTTATTCAGCCTCTACTAGCCTAGGCTGGATACTGAAGATACCATTTCAAGTAAGGCAAACTCAGTTCCTGACCTGCCAGAGCTCATAGTCTAATAGACTTCAGGGTTTTACTTGATTGAGGGATGAATGCTGACTGTGACTGGGGAAAGGAAGAAACTCCTGACCTCCAGGTTCTCTAACATGGAGCTGGAGCAAGGAGTAATGTGTTGGGAGTCTAGGCACATTCAGAACAGTCAAACCCAAGAAATGACTTTCTCACCCAGCATGGCCCTCTGTGTCTGACAACGGAACAAGGTTGGTTTGCAGGCAAGCCTGGCTATCCAACCCCAGATAGTCACCAATCCAGATCAGAATGGGCTACAGGGAGCAGTGTAAGCACATCTCATAATACACATGCATGTGGGCATTAGCAGAGCTGGAAAGCCAAATGTGCAGAAGGGATGGTGTGACAAATGCTTGTGTGAGACTCTCAATAGAAGGTTTAATGGAAGATGTTCTCTGTGGACTCTGGGGCAAAAGGGACCTCAGGGAGCCAGGTTGGGGTTGGAGGAGGGTAAGGCAAAGGGGAGGGCTTCCTAGGTGGCACAGTGGTAGAGAATCCACCTGCTAATGCAGGAGGCACAGGGATCTGGATTTGATCTGGCCCAGGAAGATGCCGTGGGGGAGGAGATGACAACGCACTCAAGTGTTCTTGCCCCCAAAATCCCATGGACAGAGGAGCCTGGAAGGCTACAGTTCAAGGGGTCACAGAATCGGACACAGCTGAGCATGCAAGCAAATAAAGCAGAGGGGAACAAGTCAGGTCCAGGTAGGAGGCCAGCTCCTCTGAGCGCGTGGGTGAGCGGCGAAGGGATGGCCCTTGTCCGTGCCAGTCCTGTTTCTAGACAGGATTCTGTGGTAGTGTCTGAGTCCCATCTGACGTTGTCACTCCGACCTCTGATCCAGCAGCCCTGTCCAAATGGGCCCAGGTCTCAGGCTTACCGCTGTCTCCCCTCCTACCCCCACCCCAAGCTGGGGAATACTTTGCACTGCATGGTGCCTGACACTTCTCATTGTGTTTCAGCTTGTACCATTTGATCTCATTAGTCCTGTGAGGAAATTCAGGCTCTTTGAAGTTAATCTGTCCAAGGTCATCTTGCAAGTGATGGACAGATCTCTGTCCCTGCATGTTTTGCCACATGCAGGGAAAAAAAAAAAAAAAGATACTGAGAAAGAAAGGGGAAGAAAGGAATTTTGAGTGGTAAGGGGCTAGAAGGCCAGACTGAAGAGGTTGATTAATATACAGAAGAGGGGGACAGGGATAGATTGGGAGTTTGGGATGAAGATATACACACTGCTATATTTAAAATAGATAACCAACAAGGACCTACTGTACAGTACAGAAAACTCTGTTCAATACTCTATAATAACCTAAGTGGGAAAAGAATTTGGAAAAGAACAGATACATGGAATATGTATACCCTGCTATGTAGGGAATTACCCTGCTATGTGCTTGAAACACAACATTGTTAATCAACTATACTCCAATATAAAATAAAAGTCTTAACAAGTATACAGAAGAAATTGGAGCCATTTCTGATGTCTTGGGAAAAGGTGATTTAAGATGAGACATGAAGGATGAGTCAGGGTAGAGAAGTAAATATTTTAAAGATAAAGTGGAAACAAACTTTTATTGGACATGCCCATTTTCCCGTTTGGGGATTGTAAATCTGCATCAATCCAGCCTGATTTATGTTCCATTTTGATTTAACCCAGGGATCACAGCTACCAGAATTTCTCAAGTCCTACATGTATACCAAGTTGGAGAACTGTCAGGCCTTGAACTGGCTATCGTGTCTGCTAGTTTTAGGCTTAGCTACCAGAATTTAGGCCAGTTCTATGAACAGCATCCAGATAATGGTAAGGGAGGGGCTTCCTTGGTGGCTCAGACAGTAAAGAATCTGTCTGCAGTGCAGGAGATCTGGGTTTGATCCCTAAGTCAGGAAGATCCCCTGGAGAAGGGAAAGGCTACCCACTCCAGTATTCTTGCCTGGAGAATTAAAGAGTTGGACACGACCGAGGGACTTTCACTTTCTTTTCTTTTCAGGGGAGAAGCACGGTGTCCCCTGGCTCAGATGGAAGGAAGGGGCCTTGGGTGACACCTCTAGGCTCATTTGGGGAAGTGTTTTCCTCTTCATAGTGTGGTAGAGGAAATTCTGAGGGGCGCTCTCATTTCCCGTGACCTCTAGGAGTCTAGGGATTCAGATTATGAATCTTACATGCCTTTCAAGGTACCATGTCCAAGGCAAAGTCTCTTTAGGCCATTCCCAGGCCTATAAAAAGATTCCTTGGGTTTGGAGAAGAGTCACCAGCACTTCACCCCCTGTCATTTCCATCACTGGTCTCGTCAACCCTTTCTCCACCCCTTCACACCAAAATTCCTTTCCTGTTAGAAGCAGATTTCTTTGTTCTTCCTCCTACTCTTCCCCCACAACCCTTTTTTCTCCTGGTTCTCCAAACAGACCAGGCTCACAACTTAATTCCTGCAAAGTTTATTGTAGAAAACAAGGAGTTGGTAGGGAGAGGAGTTTCGGGCCTGGCCAGTGGGTGTCCCAGGGAACAAACTAGGGATGGGAGACCAGGGTCTGGACACCTCAGTTGGCGGCAGGCTCTTTTTTGGGGTCTATAAAACTGCTCAAGAAGTTAAGCAGGTCAGTCCCAGCCTTCTTGAACAGGGGTGTCAGTTCCTCCTGTGTCTTCTCAAAGTAGGCCCTGGAAACGCGAGGGATTAGAAGTTAGGGTGATGGACGGGTACTGGCCTTCTTGTGGTGGGAGGTGATCCCCAAGGCCCCAAACCCTAGTGCCTGGTCTGTCCTGGAACGGTGAAGCTCCCAGGAGGGGAGGCAAGCTCTCAACTGGGCAGAGGAACAGATCATAGAGATAGAAATTCGAAGCCCAGTTCCTGCTGCCCCTACCTGTCTAAGAGGTCTGAGGGATCTGTAGGGTGATGATGGAATTTCCTCTATTTTTAGACCTCATCCTCCCTAGCCCCCCAGCCCTGAGCCCAGTGTTCTGTGGGATCTCCCAACTTCCCTCTTTTTCTCCACAGCCCCCTGGTCCCTGCGCCCCTTTTGCTGAGACTTACTTGGCTTGGGTTTGAAGCTCTGAGCCCTTGGCCTTCTCCACGAGGTCCTTGCCATAGTTGGCCACGGTCTGGAAGTACTGAGAGACCAGGCTCTGCAGATCCGGCTCCTCGGCCTGTCTCCGAACCAGAGCGCCTGCACACACACAGAAACACACACACACACTCTCTCAGTTGGGTGCCCAGCAATGAGTCCCACATCTCTGCCAGCATGCAGCCTCAGCCCTCAGCCCTCTCCCTGAACAGGTACCCAACGCCAGGTCTTTGGATGGGTGTTCTGGGCGTCCGAGAGGGGACGAGTTTCCTCTTAAGCTCTCTGGGTGCCAGACCCGGGCATAGGAGCACAGACAGAGGGGTGGCCAGGACCTAAGCACCTTCTCCTCCTGGGGACCCACCTTCAAGGCTACAGACGGTCAGGAGCAGCACAGTCAATGCAAGCAGCTTCATGGTGGCAACGGTAGGGAAAGTGGCCTGTGAAGTGGGGGGCAGGGGAGGTCACTGAAGCTGCATGGGCTTCAGCCCTTCCCCAGCGACCCCCTCCCTACACGTCCACCCCAACCCGGTTCCCCCCTTTTCTACACTTAAATCTTTGAATGACGCCCTCGCCTCTTACTGCTTTACTGTACCTAGTCAGCGATGCCGTCCTTGCCGCCTGGGTCTGCCCTGGCTGAGGAGGCAGGGGCTATATATCTTCAGGCTTCCCCACTCCACCCCGTCAGGTGATAAGGACTTTGGAGGAGTCCAGTGGGGCAGGGACTATGATGGAGTAAACAAGTTAGAGAAATGGGGGGAGGAGAGGCCAGCATACAGGAGATGCCTGGTGATGGGGTCGGAGGCAGGACCTTAATGGATGCCAAGGGGATACATTTTAGTCCTGTTCAAGATTCATTCCTTTGGGGCCTTGGAGCAGTAGTCCTTGGATCTGAATCCTTCAGTAAGCAGGATTTCTAGGGTTTCCTTTTGTTGTTGTTTTTTTTTTCTTTCTGTTTTTTTCCTGGAAAACTTTGATGTATCAGATCTAATGACCTCAGCCCTTGGTATCTTTGTACCATTATGGGTAAATTTCATCTCCCAACCCTACTCCCATTCACTGACACGTGGCAGAGAGGTATTGTGGGACAGAAAAAAGGCGATAAAATAAAATATCAGGGACAGGGGTGAGGGGAAGACGGGTTAGGAGAATAAGGATCAGGGCCAGAGGCCAGGTGTGATTGACTCTGTACTTTTTTGAGTTAATGTGTAATGAATGAGATGGGGGAGAAAACACTAGAACCAGAATGACCTTCCTGAGTGCAGATGAGCAAGCACAGCCCACCCCCAATAAAACAAATTCAGAAAGCAGCTGCTGCTCACCCCACACCCCCTCCCCACCCCCCCCACCCCCCCACCCCATCATTGGAGTGCTCTGGCAGGATAAAGGTTGAAGGTCTCTGGGCATTCGATCCCCTTATCAGTTCCAGGCAGTGGTCAGTCAATATGAGTCAGCAGGGGCCATAACATCCCTCCGACCAAGGCCCTGGCCCTTGTCCCTGTCCTGATTATGAGGGAGGACAGAGATGCATTCCCCAGGCCCAAGGCATTTGGGTGAAATCAGCTAAATAGATATCACAAGTATTTGTATCTTTCATCCTTTGACCTCTTCCTAAGAGATGGGAGTGGTGATGTGAGAGCTAGTAGGGGAGGCGACCAGAGCCTAAGAAATTTTATTCTATCTTCAACTATTCCCCTGTGGAGCACTTAGTGCTTGAAAGGGCGCTCCACTGATTTGTCCCTGGCTTTGGAGCGGAGCGCATTTGAGGGCAGGAGCCTATATTTCTCGATTTTATTTGCCAACTCTGCCTAGGGAACCTTTTCACTTTCTTTCTTTCCTAGGGAACCAGGGAAGGAAGGATCAACTTCAGAGGTCAGGTGTTTCAGGGACTACTGCTGGAACTCAGGTTGCAGTCCCTGCTCCTCTACCCCAAACTCTCACACCAGTTCCCCTTCTACACAGCGGACAAGAGGGTGAACTTTAAAAGGTTTGGACCTCCAGGAGGGAGGGTGAGTCCCTTTTCCTACGGAGAGCTGTACCTATGAGTGGAATTCATTTGAGGGTGTCCTGTGTACTGTGAAGGACTGCGAAGAGCAGTCCCCACGGGTTCGTATGGGTCTGGGTGGGGGCGGGGCCCCTAGGAGAGGTCTGAATCAGCGTTCGAAAGAAGTATTCAGTCTTCCCTGGGCCACCTTTCACAGGCTATATGTCTCCAGGCTACACAGTGGAGGGAACTTCAGTGACTCAGGCCCCAAGACGCTCCCTCTAGTGTCTTGCTCGTTAAAAGGTTTTTCCCCGACCTTGGAGAGGCAGGGCAATTTAACGCCATCTATTTCAGTAGATCTAAGGACCTAACCAATCAAGTACAGCCTGTCCCCGCAGTGCCGGGGTTGGAGCTCTCTGGACGTAAGGTCGGCCATTCTTTTGCGTTCTCCTCTTTTATTGGCCAATGCTCGGCAGCCAAGCAGCCTTTTCTTTTTCTTTTTTTTAAATCCATTGGGCGGAGCCCAATCAAGGAGGGTTGGGTCTCTGAAATCTCTTTTGTCGCCCGGTTCCAAGATGGCGTCCGTGACCACGTTGGGGTTGCAGCGTGAAGCCGCAATTGTGCCATCACTCAAGATGGCTGCCCCCATCAAGATGACCGGGGTGTGCCTGGGGGAAAGGGGCAGCATGATGGTCTGAGAAGGTAAGGGTTATTGCCTCATTGCAAGCCTCGCCATAGGGCCTAGGGATGAAGAGTAGAAAGACTAGGAAGCTGGGTAAAGTCTGTGGTGGAGACTAGGATTAGAGAGTGGGGGAGGTTACGAGGGTGACAGCGGGATTAAAGATGAAATGGGAGTGTGCCTGGGGTTCAAGCTCCCCACCGGTGCCCTCCCCCCCTACTTTTCCCGTTCCAGGTCTAGCGTCGGACTATGTGGAAGTTTCTGGGGCTGGGGAGCCGGATAATGGGGAGTGGGGCCCGTGTAGGGTAGAGGGAGCAACAGCATCCTTTCCCAGGCGAACCCCGGCCCCTCCCTGACCTCTCTACTGAAATGGGGAACACACTGGGCCTGGCACCTATGGGGGCTTTGCCCCGCCGGAGCCCCCGTCGAGAGGAGCCTCTCCCCAACCCTGGGAGCTTTGATGAGCTGCACCGGCTATGCAAAGGTGAGCAGACACCCAAGGCTTTTGGGCGGCTCACGTTGAAGGGGCAGAGAAGGGCGGGGTCTTGAGTGCTGGGTGTCCAGTTACGGGAGCTGAAAAGGGGAGATCACAGCTGGGGCATGCAGCCTCAGGGAGGATCAGGCACCCCCAGGGAGTGGAGCATTTCCTGTTGCAGGACTTGAGAGGACGTCAGTTCCTCCAAAGCGCTTCTGTGGGACTGAAAGGGGAGACTACTTCGTGGGGTAGGGGTTCCTTGTCTGCTTATTCCTTGCCTTCCCCCTCCCCCCCCCTTCAGATGTATTCCCCGCACAGATGGAGGGAGTGAAGCTCGTTGTCAACAAGGTTCTGAGCAGCCATTTCCAGGTGCTCCCACTTCTCTGGCCCCTCCTTACTATTCCTCCCTGCCTGTCCCTGGATCTTCTCCTTTCCTTTTGTGCTCCCCCCTTAGCCAGGCTATATGGGCCAAACGAGGAGGGATATGGGGCCCTTTTGACTTGCTTTACCTGTGGGACTTGTTGCTTTTAATCCGGTGACCCTCTGTATGAGTTGGAATGTTTGGGTTTCTTAAAAGACCTGCCGGATGGGGACTAGATGAAGGGGAGGATGGGGCATTGAAATGGAGCAGGAGTGCTGTCTCCTGGATTGATTTCTCTTTCCTCAGGTAGCTCACACTGTGCACATGAGCGCTCTGGGTTTGCCCGGCTATCATCTTCATGCGGCCTATGCAGGGGACTGGCAACTTAGTCCCACTGAGGTGAGGGCTCCACTCCCCTGGGTTCTCTCCCCCAAAGCCCAGTTGGGACTCAGGCGTAGAGGAGGAGGAAATGTGTTTGTCATGGGGAAGAATGGGCAGGGTGTGTCCTCTGTGTTTCTTCTGAATGGGAGAAGGTGGGGGAAACCCATCTGTGTGATGAGTTCAGAGTTTGTCTTCGTGATTCCACTAGGGGGTGCTGCGTACTGTTAAAGAAATCCTACATTTGGCTTGAGGCTGAGTGGGGCCCCTCCCCTCCGTGTTACTGACTGGACACTCTTCAACAGGTGTTCCCCACTGTGGTGGGAGACATGGACAGCAGTGGCAGCCTCAACGCCCAGGTCCTGCTCCTCTTGGCAGAGCGGCTCCGAGCCAAGGCTGTCTTTCAGGTGACCGCGGGTCCTGCCTTCATCCACTGAAGCATTTCCTCTTTCTCCTCCTCAAGTGTTCTGCCTGGTGGCTGAGGGAGAGGAGTAGAGGCAGCAGTGATTGCAAAGAGAGAGGGAGATTTTACTTCTTGCTCTCCCTATCTAGACGCAGCAGGCCAAGTTCCTGACCTGGCAGTTTGATGGCGAGTATCGGGGAGATGACTACACAGCCACTCTGACCCTAGGAAATCCGGACCTGATTGGGGAATCAGGTGAGGAATGGGTACAGGCTTCTTTCGGTCTTGGCCACCCACCTGCTAATGTTGACTATGCCTCTACATTGTCTGTACAGTTCAGGGATTAGAGAAGAAACTCTGGGGGCAGGCTGGGGCGGGGGCCGTTGGGAATGAGAGAGCAGGCCTATCTCTATGACTGACTCCGGGTCTCCCCACTCCCCCACAGTGATCATGGTCGCTCACTTCCTGCAGAGCCTCACTCATCGACTGGTGCTGGGAGGAGAGCTAGTTTATCACCGGCGGCCAGGCGAAGAGGGGGCCATCCTGACACTGGCTGGGAAGTACTCGGGTATGGGGTGAGGAAGAACAGTGAGGGGGAGGGCAATTCTGGACTTGGCTGGAGGTTCTGGCCTGTGTTCTATTGCAGTAACGGTCTTTTTCTCTTGTACTTTGGTTTTCACAGCCGTACACTGGGTAGCTACGTTGAATGTGGGATCAGGTGGGGCCCATGCAAGTTATTACCACAGGGCAAATGAGCAGGTTAGTCTACTGACCCCATCCCCTACCCCCAACAAGTCCCTGCAGACCCTCACAGGCCCTGCTGGCCTGCTGTTTTTCCTGCCCACACTATGTATACATCTCATGCATGCCTTCATTCTGCCAGTCCTCTGTCAGGACTCCTCCGGTCTTCACTGAGACAGATCCGTCTCCCATCCTTGCCCCACCGTTCTCAGGTTCAGGTTGGAGTGGAGTTTGAAGCAAACACAAGGCTACAAGACACAACCTTCTCCTTTGGATACCACCTGACTCTGCCCCAGGCCAACATGGTATTTAGAGGTGAGGGCTATTCAGATGATATTCCAAAGTAATGAGGGATTGGGGCGGGCAGTGGGAGGGAAGCGCCGCCTTAAATCTGCTGACCCTTTTTCCAAGCCCTGTTAAGTAACATAGTGTGTATTTCTCTTCCCCAACAGGCTTGGTGGATAGTAACTGGTGTGTGGGTGCTGTGCTGGAGAAGAAGATGCCCCCCCTGCCTGTCACCCTTGCCCTCGGAGCCTTCCTTAATCACTGGCGCAACAGATTCCACTGTGGCTTTAGCATCACTGTGGGCTGAGGTCACCCCAGAGCCAGCCCACACAACAGTTGGAGCCTCCGAGTCAGGTGTCCTGGGGCCAGAGCCCTCCAGAGCCCACCTTGCTGGGTGACCTCTGGGTCCCAAGAGCAGAGTGGGGACAGGACCACACCCTCCTCAGAACTGAAGCTGCCACAGGGGCAGCTGCTGAGGCAGTGGTTTGAGTCTCCCACCTCTGCCATCAGTCCAGTATCATCTTCCCATGCTCTTATGGCTCTGGACTAGGGGAGAAGAATTAAGGGGTGTGTCTGGCTGAATTTTCTCTCCTCACTCCCACCTCCTCTATTTCTCTGTGGATTAAAGCTCCTAGCCTCTTTCTCTTCAGAGCAGAAAAATCTGCATGGGATTCACTCCCCATCCTGTGTTCCATCCCAGAGTTTCCCAAACTGGGAAAAGAAGGACTGAAGGGCTAAATCTTTGACCTCAGAAAGTGGGGCCTACCTATTCCCAGAAGGAGCTTCTTTACCTCTTAGCCCTGAGGCTTCCTCCTTCCCCATCTTCTGTGCTTCCAGAGAACAACTTTGTCCCCACAGTACCCCTCACTCTCCCTATTACTGCATGAAGAGGCAGTTACTGCTTTAATCTGTCTTTGTAACCAGTGGGCTCCCTGTTTACTGTCTGCAATCTCTGGCCCCAGGATTCTCCCCTTTCCAGTCCAACGTGTCCAGGTGGGGCTGGGAAAGGAGGTAGATTGGGCCTCAACTGCAGATCTCCTGGAGCAGTGGCATCATGGTGGACAGTCCCTGGATGTTCTGGATTTGGTACCAAAATGCATCGTGAATGCTTCGGAGGTCAGCCAACAGGCCCAGCAGCTTCGCATATAGAAACCTTTGTGGTCACCAGGGAAAGAGGAGAGAAATAAGGCAGCTAAGAGTCTTGTCCTGAGGCCCTGACCCCCAGAATTGCCTCTCAGTGAAGCTAGGTCTGAACACCAAGTTCCAAAGGGGCCTCTTTGTGACACTGATTTCTCTCACCATGCTGTTTTTCTTGAGCCCAGAGGGCCAAGTGAGAAAAAACCCCTGCCTTGGCCAGATCTTCAACGGTGTGGATCTGGCCTTGTAGAGCAGGTTCTAGAAGGTGGATATGTTCTTTGGTATGATAACGCACCCCTCTTCTGATCAAACTGGCACATTCAGGAATAAGCAACACGGAAGTGGAGTGTGCCCCAGAGCCTGGTTAGCTCATGGACTGTGGAACCAGGGACTGGCTTTGACCATGAAACTGAATGACCATAGCTTCAAGGGGAATGAGAAATTAGAGGAATTGGACCAATGGACAGGAGGGGGAGGGCCGAGAGAGTGAACAAGACTCTTGGTAAGGTTGCTTTAGTCTGGAGAGGTTGGCTTGGTGAGCTGATAGATGTCATCAATCTCAGGAATGCTATTACACAGAGCCTGTGAGCTACCACTTTGCATCTCTGCTGAATAAAAAGATCTGGAAAAAGTGAGATGAAACAGCAGTAGGAGCCATTTGAATGCCGAAACTCTGTGAAACGGGAGGGAAGGACTAGATCCCCAGGGGCCCTGGTGTTCCAAAGGAAAGGACAGTGAAAGTACTCATCCTGAGTTCAGTTCACCCAGCCTCCCCGTGCCCAATCCCACCATACCGGTGCCGGGGCCGCGGCTGCTGGCCTTGGATGTAGTTCTGCAGAGTCAGCGCCATCTCCTCTTGCAACTGGTCGATCTCCTCCCTGCAGGTTATTCCAGGCCGGTCTAAGATAGGGAGTGAGGAAGGATAAGATGGGCGGTTGTGGGTGGCTTGGAGAGCCAAGATTGGGATAGATCCACTCCACAGGTTTGAAGACTACAAGGCCTGGATGGATGGATTGAGGGAGCTGGGAGTTTGGACAGAGGTGGTAGAATGGAAGTTTCTGGGCTTTGGGGGATGCTCACCAGGAGAGAAGAGGGCCACTGCAGCCATGAGAACATACTCAGGCTCCTGGAGCTGTAGTCGGCGCAGTGTCCTATGGAAGCCAAAGATGAACTCCAAAAACTCTTCCTGGAACCCCGCTGTGGGAGATACTAGGCTTAGGAGCCTGCGGGTCACCTCGCCACGTACCTTACCAAAGGAATGCATGCCCTCCACTGCCCGAGCACCATCTTACCTTGTGCTGCATCTTCTATGGTGTAGCAAAGAGGCCCACAGTGGAAGTTTTGTGTTTGGAGACAGAAAGTGGTGTTAAGTGCAATTTGACAGATTTCTATAGCTGCTCCCTTGAGAAGGGAGATCTGGTCCTCCATGGGCAAGGACCTGTAAGAAGCAGGAAACCTGCACTTTAGGCTGAACTTCAGAGAGGGAGAGGAACCCCCAGTTCTTATTGAGATGCTTAAAAGCCAAGCTGAGAATTCAAGATCTGGTACTTGAAAGGGCTGAGGGATGGGTTAGTTTGGTTAGTGAGTTTTTTGTTTTTTTTTTTTAATGGAGTGGTATTATAATTTACTGGAGCAATTTCTTCCTGAAAGGCACGGGGAGGAGTCACATACCGAAAAAGGGGCAGATCCTTGGTGAACTTGATGATTTGCTGTACCATGAAAGTGTTGACATCTGCAAAATGCATGAGCAGGGGCAGTACGGGCACCAGGGTGGGCAAACGCTGGTGATGGATGAACAGATGAGCTGGTGGCTGCAGAGATCAGAGCCTGAGTGAGAGACCCCAGTCCTGGGGGTCTCTTCTAGGTATCTAGTTTTATCTGATGGCTCAAACAGTAAAGACTGCCTGCAATATGGGAGACCCAGGTTTGATCCCTGTGTTGGGAAGATTCTCTGAAGGAGAAAATGGCAACCGACTCTAATATTCTTGCCTGGGAAATCCCATGGACAGAGAAGCCTGGTGGGCTACAGTCCATGGGGTCACAAAGAGTCAGACACGACTAAGTGACTAACCCAACAGCTTTATCTTGGAAGGATTCCAGGCTGAGAAGTCTGCCTCGGCTGGGGTTCTGGAGAAGTCCTGTCCTCTATCAGGGCATGGCACACAGTCCCCTCCCTCAGGCCAGCCTCCTTGGGCACCCTTTTTGTCTTATTTCATCTTGAATCCCATAGATGCTCACCCTGAACTGCACAAACTGGTCAAACATGGTGCCCACATGGCGAGCGTGGGCCCCCAGGAGTGTCCGGACTAGCTCTTTCTGCTCCTTACTCATCTGCATCGATGCTTGCTGTGCCCGTCGCTGGGCCTGTCTTGCTCGCCGCAGTGCCAGGGCTTCTGCTGATAGGATCACTGTGCCCGGGGAAGGGGTGTGACAAAGCTATTGAGACCAGCAGAGAGCACATCTCTCTGCCAGTCCCTGGCTTGAGACCCTTGGACACTCTGCACAATGCATACAAGGAGGGAGGAGAGTTCCTGAGGTTTCCTTGGGCTCGACTGGAGTCCCAGAGGCTCCAGGTGGTAGGGGATTCCTGTACATTTTCTCCGACCCATGGGACACTGGCAGAAAACAATGCACTGTGGGAGGGAGAGGAAGGGTGGACAATAAAGTGGGGAAAGTATTAGGAGATGTTTGGCTTCTGGGGGAATATTGAAGAGGGAGGGCTCGTGATACCAAAAACATCACCTTGTGTTGCAATAGCTTTATAATTTCAAAGCTTCTGAGGTTAGGTCTCAGTGAATGAAACAATCCCATGGGTAGAGAGGGCAGGTGTGATTTCCATGTTTTTCAGAAACAGACAGGCTGACATTCTAGTTACAGGTCCAAGGTCACAAACTACTGATGTGATATAGACTGGATTCAAGATTTTTTGACTTCTACAGTTTCTTTTCTACTGCTCCATGGTGAAAAGTAATGTGATGTCACAAAGAAAATAAGGGTCTGGTGAATACTGACTCTCCAGTTTTCAGCTGAGTGTCCTTAGGCAAGCTGATTTCTGTTAGTTTAAGTTTATTACAAGTTACACTGTCTTTTGGGGGCTGAACCTAATTACTTGGCACTGAGAAAAAAATTAAATCAATCATTGAGTAGCTAGTAAGTCATAGACACTATACTTGAGAGAGAGAGGAGAAAAAGCAAGCCATAAGAATACCTAGGAAAAGAGCATTCCGGGTAAGAGGGAATGGCAAGTACAAGTATGAGTTACATAAGTCCCCTGGAGAGGGTGCTTTGGTGTGTTTGAGAATGGCATTGGCATCAGTGTGGCTGGGATGGATTGAGCCAGGGGAAGAGGAAGAAGTGAAATCTGAGAGGTGGTATGGCAGACATGGGACTGTGAGACCATGGACAAGAAGAGAGGTGAGGAGCCCTTGGAGATCTGAGCAGGGTAGAGACATTGTCCGACTTGTTTCAGAAAGCTTCCTCTGTCTTCCATGTGGAGAATAATGCTATGGGAACATGGGCAAAGCATAGTCAGTGGGTGGGGGGGGGACACAGTGGATTCTTGGGATGGTAGGGGGCCAACTCACTGTCCTTCTTCATGCCAGCATCCAAGCACTTCTGCAACCTGCAGGCTGGGCAGTGGCGCCTCTGGGCCTTGTTGACCTCACAGCTTCCAGCGAAGGGGCACGTGAGGCTGGTGCTTTTGTTGACTGTTCTCCTGTGGAGACAGATGTTGTGAGGGTCAGGGATGGCAGCCAGCAGGTGGGTGTGTGAGGGGCTACAATGATACGGTCCCAAAGAATCTATGGTAGGGATTCCCTGGTGGTCCAGTGGTTAGCACTCGGTGCGTTCACTGCCAAGGGCCTGGGTTCAATCCCTGGTTGGGGAACTAAAATCCTGAATCTAGGGTGACATGGGCTAATCTGAGCTGTGTCCAGAAGTCCCTAGGGGTAGGGAGGACACAATACATCTGAAGCATTTCCATGGGGCACACAGTCAGTCAGTATAGACTACGCTAGTTTGGTGCTTTGCAGGTGGTGAGTACACTTGGCTAAGGGGCTGTGTCCAGAGGACACACACTCTGCCTCCCTCTGTTCTTCTGCCACGTGTTTATACAGTGTGGAGGTTGCCAGTGGGTCACGTGCTAGCTATAGGGTGGTTGGGTTCCAAGAA